GAGGGATGACCATGTGGCAATCCCTTCTCCTCCACTCTCCTCTTGGGATTTTGGGCATGCACGCACATGCGCCCAGTTTGTTTCAAGCCTCTAGGTCTGGGACTCAAACTGCGGTAGGCCATGTGGGAGTCCAGTGACATAACCATTCCGCCACCTGCTGATCCCCAGAACTAGCACCTTACCAAACTGGGGACAAGCTAGACTCCTAGCTTTTCCAAAATTCTAATTATCCATTTTTATAGGCCGTGAGAATTTGCACTGGATTTTTTTTTTTTTTGGCCTTACTTTTCATTTGTCAGAAGAATCAGTGTGTGTTAGTGAGAGCAACAGAATTTGATTTGACAATGGTCAGGCTTGCCTGCTCTCCAAGTGGCCATCATCTTGAACTTTGTTTTTTGTATTTCTTTTTTTTTGGAGAGATTTTCACTGTAGGGCGCGTGCGCTCGCCAGACAGACAGAGAGACACATAGAGACAGAAAGCAAGAAATCACCCCCCGGGGGGGATGGTCACGCCGCAATCCCTTCTCCTCCATTCTCCTCTCGGGATCTTGGGCACGCACGCACACGCGCCCTGCGTGAGTTTTAAGCCACCGGGTCCGGGACACGAACCACGGTGGACTACGTGGGAGTCCAGCGACATAGCCATTACGCTAACTGCTGGTTCCCTTGAACTTTGTTTTAGGTGCATTCAGTACAGAGTTTTTAAATTTTTTTTTGGAGAGGTTTTCGCTATAGGGTGCATGCACTCGCCAGACAGAGACAGAGAGACAGAAAGCGACAAGTCACCCCCTCGGCGGATGGCCCAGTTGCAATCCCTTATCCTCTATTTTCCTCTTGGGATCCTGTGCATGCATGCACATGTGCCCGGCATGAGTTTTAAGCCACCAGGTCCAGGACACGAACCGCAGTCTACCGCGGTGGGAGTCCAGCGACAGCCATTATGCTAACTGCTGGTTCCCGACAGTTTTCAACAACGGAAAACAGGATAAAAGCAAACTGCTGATGCCTTCACTCTTTGTATGTGAAAAGTACTAGGTTGTCTGAAAAGTACTAGATTGTTGGAAAAGTCATGATGCCTTTTTTGCATAGAAAAATACCTCAAAGTTAAACAGAAACACTGGCACCAACCCATCAACCAAATAGCCCACAGGGTTGGGTGGTTGGTTTGAGCACTGGCTAACTCATTTTGGACAAGTCCTGTCCCTTTTCTGGGCTTCATTTCCTTCCTTGTGAAACAAGGCCAGGTCAAGACCTCTCCAGATCGTCTGTTGCTTCTGGTCAACATCATGCTCCTGGGTAGGTCTTGTCTGTACTCAGAAAGGACATAATACATCGATGCCTATCAGACAAGAACAGCTAAGCCCAAGAACAGCACGTCAACAAGTTTTTCTTTGATATTGGATTATTTATAAACCAAACATTGGGTCATGGGAAAAGTCATGACGTATTTTTCTATGCAAAAATGTGTCATGACTTTTCCCACAACCCAATGGTTTCTGGAGACTACAGACATGCCTTCATGTATTCGCTAGGGAGTTGAGGTGGAAGGGAGAAAAACATCCACTCTGTAGGCCCAACAGTGAAAATTTCACTTTGTCTCTTCGCTTCCTCAGCAGACTCAGGTGCCCCTCTTTCAAGCCCACCTCTGAGCTGCCAATTCCTGACTTTTCCTCTTAATTCCAGACAAAACTCTGTACAAAGACCTTGCTAATGAGCCAATTTGCCCTTTCCTCCTGAGGGCAAGGTTACCCTAAGTCTTCTAGTTCTCACCTTTTAAAATGTACTGGGCCCTGGAAAAGTCATGAAGCATTTTTGTATAGAAAAATACATGACATTTCCAACAACCCAATAAGCTCTTTGAAGAGTCCTACCTGCCCCCATGCCACAATTAGGGATTCAATAAAAATATGGGCTGTTGCTTCAGCTGAGACTTTGGCCCAGATGAACCCTTTTTGTTCTATTCCAAAATCATTCTAAGTTACAGAAGACTGGATAAAGGGTGACTGCAAAGGACTTTTTGGTTTAATAAGGGCCAGACCAGGTTCTCTCTAGGGCTTGCTCCAGCTCTAACTTCATGGGATGGTATTAGCATGCTGTGAACTGGGGGCCCCAGGCCAAGTCAAGACAGCCACATTTTGGAAGCTAGAGCTAGGAAAATTAATATGGAGTAACTCGGGTCTTTATTCTCATCTTTAATGCTAACAAGTCAGCCAACATGCCATTTCATAAGCAGAGACCACGCATTTGCTTCACTACTCTACCTCCTAACCCAGATCATAGAGGTTCAAATGTTGAAATTTTTGAAGACTCCAAACAACTGAAAGGTACATATTAAGTAAGTGGCCTAGAGAAAAATATTTCATTTCTCTAAGTCTCTAGTCTTAGTTTACACAGAGAATGAAAAGAGCAATTTTTGTCAACTTGGTATTGCTGACGGCATTAAGAAACACGATGTCTTGGGACCAGCAGTTAGCTTAATGGCTATGTCGCTGGACTCCCATGTAATCAACCATGGTTTGAGTCCCAGACCCGGTGGCTTAAACTCACGCCGGGCACGTGTGCATGCATGCCCAAGATCCTGAGAGGAGAATGGAGGAGAAGGGATTGCAGCGTGGCCATCCCCCCTGGGGGTGATTTCTCGCTTTCTATCTCTCTGTCTGTCTCTGTCTGTCTGGCGATCGCATGTGCCCTATAGCAAAAACCTCTCAAAAAAAAAAAAAAGCTTCCATAGTCAAATAAGTTTGAGAAACTTAAACAAGAGCAATGTAAATGAATCTTGAAGGAGGTTTTGGTGGAAAAAGATTCAAAATGTGGCCTGAATTTATTGAGGCAAGTGTGTTCCTCCTTATCTGGTCACTTATTGATATTCCCAGTCTTGACCTAGATACCCCTATCTTACGGATAAAGATAACATGTTCCTCACAGATTCTCAATAACTCATCACTCGTCTCTTGCAGTCAGTCCAGATCAAGTCAGTACTGAACTTGACTCCAATCCCAAAGTCCACGGTCTTACCCATTATACCATGCTGACATTGTTTAAGGTGAAGTTTTGATGAATTCTAGGTGTAAGAAAAGTTTAAAGAGTATTAACATGCTGGGGGAGTAAGCAAGGACTTCAAATGAACGTTGAAGATTCAAGATTGCCATCAATACACTGAGAGTAAGTGGAGAACATTTTGCAAAGCAAATCCTCAAATTCTGAAGCAGTCCAGTCCAGACCACTCATTAATCACAGAAGGTGAGAGACAGTCTGACAAGGGAAGGACTTAAAAGTAGGTGATGAGGGTGCCGAGTATTGGTGCAGGGAGAAAGCAGGATGCACTGTGAGGCTGATCCACTGGGAAGGTGCTGGTTTCGCAACCAGAAATCTCCTATGTGCCCATGATCAAGGGCTGACTGGGAGCGGATCAAGGCACAGGTACTATCTGGGTCTCTTACAGAAGAAATAAACTTAAAATGCGCGCGCGCGCGCGCGCACACACACACACACACACACACACACACACACACACACACACACACACACACACACACCAAACTCCCATAATACCGGTAAGATAACAATCTCTTGGGAATTCTTTTCAAAACAAAAACTTTCACCCTGGGGAGAAGGTGGGCTTTTCAGAATGGATTAAACAGGGATGGGCACAAAGACAGAAGTCTATTGTGGAAAAAGGACCCCAGGTGATACTAATTCCGCCCTTGGACTCCCTGTTAAACAACTGACTTAAACTGGGACAAGCTGTTCTCTTGGGAAAGGCTTATGGGATCTAAAAGTTGGGCAAAAGCAGCAAACAAGATTTTAGGAGACTGCTCTATTCCGACTTCACCCAAAAGCCCACCCCATTCTTAAAGGTTCATCCTCGGGGTAGACAAGGCAGCATAGCATTACCCATTTCAACACGTCTAGAACTTGAACCGGGACAAATCTAGGTTCACATCACTTAAGCTATGAGAAGTATACGGAAACCAAGAGTACAATCCGGCTTCCCTTACAAGCTGATTAACCTTGATCGAGTTATATTTGTTTACTTCTAAGCCTTAGTTTCTCTATTAATAGAAAGGGGACAGAATTTACTTCGAAAGTTATTACCTAAAATCACTCTTCAGTGCTCAGACCATAGCTGGGACTCAGATTAGTAACCGTTTCTCTGGATTCTCCTCCCTTCTAGTTCATTACCTCTCTCCTCTCTGAATAGATTCTTAGCTACCTGAAAAATCTAAATAAGGCTGAACACACACACTCTAAATGCAGTTAAAACCCTGCAGACAGGATTTTTTGTTTTCCCAAATCCTCTTGTCTCAATGAGCCCCATTTTCCTGATAAGTAAAACCAGTCAATTTCACAGGTTAAGAAAAAGATTTTAATGTGGAAAAGAGGGGAAAGATACTGTTCTGTTGTGTGACAGCTCTAGGCCCACCTATAGGGGTTAACAGTCTGCATGCCCCAGAGGACTAAACCAGAAAACCCTCCCTCCCTCCCTTTGCTTGACTGCCTTGGGCTGAATGAAGGCTGCCTGGGGGGTCTCAGAAAAGACAAATTCAGGCAACTTTGAATCAGTCAGGGAGGGGTATGGGTGGGAATAGTAAAGTTTTCTTTCTTTTGTTTGTTTTGGGAGCCAAAGAGAGGCAGCCCGAAGAGTAGGGGGAGCTAGGCAGTTCCCCTACCAATTCTGGACCCAGCCCCCAACACCCACCGATCCATTTTAAAACTGCTAGATGTTTAATAATGATGGTTCGCACTTAACTGAGTACTTACTAAGACAATGATTAGCACTTAAATGAGCTCTTGTTAAGAAAATGCCAGTTAACGTTTGCGTCAAGAACTAATCAGGGCCCCAAATGTCTGGACCCAGGAAAGGAGGGTGTGTCTGGGCCCAGGATGACAGGAACAGGATCCGGGCCTAGGAGCTCCAAGGGCAGTTTGTGCCTGGCAGTCCAGGGAGTATGGGGTGCTCAGGCCCCTCGCGGGCGACCCTGGCCGCGCGGTGCTCCTACCTTTCAGCGAGGTCTCCACCAGGCGCAAGTAGAGCTGAGAGTTCTTGTTGCCGTGACTCATGCGCTGGGCTAGCCCGTTGCGCTGCAGAACACACTCCTCAAACTGCACGACGTTCTGGTGGCGCCGCTTTAGGCTGGTCAGGGCCCAGAATTCAGCCAGCGCCAGCTCCACGTTCTCGGGGGCGTCGCAGCGGATCTTCTTGACCGCCACCCGGGCCCCGCTGCGCCCGGCCACTGCCTCGTAAACCACGCCGCAGCTGCCGCGCCCGCTCTCGGCCAATAA